GAGACGCCGTGACATCGCGAGAACACTCCGCGGGATCCCGCAGCGCTCCTGTATCTCAGCCTGAAGAGCTCCGAGACCAGAATCCAGACTCAGTCCAGGACAACACGGTCCACCAGTCACAGCGGAGACCTGCAGGACGATGGAGAACCAGAACCGGACCGCAGGAGCCAAACAGCAGCCTCGTGCTCTGATAGCGCCGATGTTCAGGTCAGTGTTCATGACTTCATCACGAGACTAAAGACACGAGGAAGAGTCTCGAGGGTCCGTGTATCATCCGTTCATTCTGTTGTTAGAGATCAGAGCCTGAAAACCCGCTCCAGGGTTTGTGTTGACGTGGTTTGATTTCCAAAGTGTCTCCGTGGTTCCTGTTTTCATCTTGAAGAGAAGCTGAAAGAAAACATTTCTCTTTTCTTTGTTGTGTAACTGTCGCCATTTTCCCGCGCGGCGCATGCGCGGTGCAGCGCACGTGTAATGGCGGAGCGCGCAGAACAAACAATGATCCGTCTGATTGATCTGTGAGGAGGCTTTCTTGTTAACCTTCGCTGTGACTTCACCGCTGCTTGTTTTGGGAGTGAGTGCTTGAATCTCTTTCATGATGTTTTGGTCTAAAACGGGACAAACACAACAACACGGTTCTGTTGGTTCTTTGTATTGTGCACAAAGTACCAGTTTGAGTACTGCAGGGAGCAGAGTCTGAGAGTCAGTGGGGGTCCTGGGCCTTGTTGATGACGCCAGCTGCAGATGGAAATAAACTTGTGGCGTGAGGTTTTTGTACATGGAGGGTTAAGACATATCAGGTGATTAATAGTCGAGCGTGGGGAATTTCAGCTGCAGCAAATGTTGACCTGGAACTCAGCTGCTGTCTGATTCTGTCATCGGGTGGTTTAGTGGCTGAAAATGAGATTTTCCTTCATTTTGTCTTCCCTCTGTGGCTGCTTGTGCAGCTCGTTACAAAACGGCAACAGAGGTGATCGTCTGCAGCTGAAACATTAAGACAGAAGATGATAATAGTGATCCGATAAGGAAGGTTTGGCTAGCTGCCCATTTAGCTGTATCAGATGCCTTTTATTGAAACCTCAACTTTTCGTAAAATCGATGTGCTTATTAATGGCACTTTTCGTCCGCAGCCTATTATATAAAATAAATAAATATTATATTTATATATATTACTGTTATCTGCTGACATCAGACGTTGAGAGAACAGTTTTACCTGACTTCATTGTCATTGAGTTTTTTTCTCTTCTCGTGCCTAGACGGATAGCCCCTCTTCATCCTCTGATCAAGGTTCTTTAAATGTTAGTTGATAACGTAATATTGACTGAACGCAAAAGTCTGTGTCGTGCACACAACAGAGAGACCAGTGGTCCCCCTGCACACCAACACCACCGCTGTGGAATGAATAACCTCCCTGCTAAAATGTCACACAATCATTAATGTCAATACGCATGTAAGAGTTTAACCCGCACACTGTGCAAGCATGGTGGCACTCGACGCTTAGCTAGCTCTCTTTGTATCCTGTGCGTGAGGCCGAGCGAGCGGCAGAACGTGAATCTAAGAAGTCTCTGGACAGTCTTCCAGGTATTTTTACTATACATGGTGAGCAGATCGAACGAGTCAAACTGTACAAATATTTGGGTATATTAATTGATCAAATTATATGCTTAGTAATTATTCAGAGATCCTGTATAGAGGGAAAAAATTATGCATCAAGATGCATCGATAATGGTTTAATAATCCCATCATAGCCCTTTGAATTGTGATCGAGTCGTGAGGTGCCCAGAGATTCCCACCCCAGATTCTTTGGGTGTGTTTAATTCTCATTTTGTTTTAAATATACTGTTTGAATAGTGCTATATAAATAAAGTTTATTATAATTCAAATCTACTAATTTTGAAGTTCTTCATCTAACAGGATCTCACAATAGTGGTATATAAATAAAGTTGGTAACAGGAGCTTACCTGGTGGCTACAGACAGTTTTAAATAATGTAATTAATTTAACATTTCTGCATTTTCAGCAATGCAATGTGATTTTATTCTTCTGTTGTTTCTGGCCGACTTCTTCTGCGTACAATTTTATTTATATAGCGCCAAATCACAACAGCTATCTCACAGCGCTTTTCATAAAGAGCAGGTCTAGACCGTACTCTGTGATGCTATTTACAGAAGCCCAACAGTTCCCACCAAGAGCAGCACTAGGCGACAGAGGCAAGGAAAAACTTCCTTTTAAGAGGCAGAAACCTCGAGCAGAGCCATGAAGCAGCCACAGAAACGATTAAAATGTAAAAGTGTGCTCTTTAAGGAGATTTATTTTCCCATTTGACTTTTCCAACTCCCAATTCATCTCTTTTCTGCACTTCCTGCAGGACATTCAAAATAATTCCAGCCATAAATTATTCCAGCTGTCTGCATTTACACACATTTTGACATGTAATTTATTTTAGTTTTACCTCAACAAAACAAACCGTGATCTTTACACAATTTGCTAGAGTACTTCACTGTGAACAAGCGGGCATACGTGGTAATAACATACCGATCATTTATTTAGCATGCAGTACATACTGAGTGACTGAGTATGTAATAGACAGTATATTGTCACTATGTGGTACAGACACCAGGGTTTTTCCTGGCTCAAAATGGGCCTTTGCGGGCTGACTTTGAGCGACTGTAACCATGGCCGGTACACGTACAGTAAAGGCAAGGAGTTATCTTATGACCGAAATCTATGCATTTTGTTGTCATTTCTTACCATTTGATAAACAAAATATAACCACAACCTGGAGGAGTAAAGGTTAAAAAGTAAAGTATAATAATACTTTTACAGGTTGCACTTGATTTAGATAATCTGCCTACAGATAGTTTATTAATTGAGATTCAGCAGTTTCACAAATAAAACCTTTCTCTGATATTAGCCTACACCACTGTGGTTAAGGTTTGATTAGTGCAAATGTTTGTATATTTATTATAATTTCAGATAATAGTGTAAGCTACTATAGCTTAACATTAGTAGCCTAATATTAATTCCAGTTGGACAAAACAGAGGTTTCATTTTTGTGGGTCATTCAATTATTGTGCAAGAAAAATGCTCTACATGGTGGTTTGTTTCATTTGTTTATGCAAATGAACTTGTCAAAAACTGTGCATTCAGAACAATGAGTTCAACATTTCTAAACTTTGCTGTAGTGCCTGAAACTTTACTGTCCCGCCTCCTCCGTGCTGTGATTGGTCGGTTCACGAGAAGTCACTGACGAGCAGCTATGCACACGGCTGCATGAAAGGCTCCCGATCTCCCTGCGGAGATTAGCAGTCAGGCGAGAACAGGTGAGCGTCACATAGTGCCCAGAAAACCTGATCTGGAGAGGGCAGAGGAGAGTCCCGGAGCCAAAGAGTAAAATGTAAAAGTGACGGTACACTTCAAGCACAAAGGGCTCTTACACTCACCTAAAGGATTATTAGGAACACCTGTTCAATTTCTCATTAATGCAATTATCTAATCAACCAATGACATGGCAGTTGCTTCAATGCATTTAGGGGTGTAGTCCTGGTCAAGATAATCTCCTGAACTCCAAACTGAATGTCAGAATGGGAAAGAAAGGTGATTTAAGCAATTTTGAGCGCGGCATGGTTGTTGGTGCCAGACGGGCCGGTCTGAGTATTTCACAATCTGCTCAGTTACTGGGATTTTCACGCACAACCATTTCTAGGGTTTACAAAGAACGGTGTGAAAAGGGAAAAACATCCAGTATGCGGCAGTCCTGTGGGCGAAAATGCCTTGTTGATGCTAGAGGTCAGAGGAGAATGGGCCGATTGATTCAAGCTGATAGAAGAGCAACTTTGACTGAAATAACCACTCGTTACAACCGAGGTATGCAGCAAAGCATTTGTGAAGCCACAACACGCACAACCTTGAGGCGGATGGGCTACAACAGCAGAAGACCCCACCGGGTACCACTCATCTCCACTACAAATAGGAAAAAGAGGCTACAATTTGCAAGAGCTCACCAAAATTGGACAGTTGAAGACTGGAAAAATGTTGCCTGGTCTGATGAGTCTCGATTTCTGTTGAGACATTCAGATGGTAGAGTCAGAATTTGGCGTAAACAGAATGAGAACATGGATCCATCATGCCTTGTTACCACTGTGCAATTCACTGTTATAAAAATGTCCCCCACAGTCACCAGATTTCAACCCAATAGAGCATCTTTGGGATGTGGTGGAACGGGGAGCTTCGTGCCCTGGATGTGCATCCCACAAATCTCCATCAACTGCAAGATGCTATCCATCAATATGGGCCAACATTTCTAAAGAATGCTTTCAGCACCTTGTTGAATCAATTCCACGTAGAATTAAGGCAGTTCTGAAGGCGAAAGGGGGTCAAACACAGTATTAGTATGGTGTTCCTAATAATCCTTTAAGTGCGTGTATATTGTGAGAAATAACAGGAAGTCATCACTCGCCGGCTGTCATGGCATGCCATTTCTCTGTCCATGATTTTGTCTCATCATTGTTTGTGCCATTTTCAATAACACTAAATAATCACTGGTTTGAGCTTTTTAATATTTGGGATTCTTTTTCACATGCTGACGGTGGACGTGGTGCAAATCTCCTCCATTCTTCCTGGTTACGGTACCAGAGGGACTTGCATGGAGAAATAAATTTAGGGTTGTACTTAGGTGGACGATAGACTGCAGCAATCAAAACCACAGAAGATTTATTGATAGTAAAAAAAAAAAAAAAAAAATTCAGAACTGAATAAGGATCACAATTTTGTATAAGTGGTATTTACTTTATAGTGTTTCAATTAAATTTTTTATTGTACTGTCCATCCATCCATCATCAACCGCTTATCCTGCGTACAGGGTCGCTGGCGGCTGGAGCCAGTCCCAACTTACTCGGGCAAATGCGGTGTACACCCTGGACAGGTTGCTAGTTTTATTGTACTGTTTGTAATTTAATTGTATTCTATTTGTAAAGCACTTTGATTGAAAGCGCTCTATAAAAAAATACATTTATTATTATTACAGTACGTTCAAATGTGATTTCACGGATGTGCTCTAATGTCATTTATGGTTTTAGATAGCTCACTCCACCATGACATCTGACTTACTGTGTTTCTCTCTCTTGATATAGAGAGGAAGAAGATATGGACTAAAACGTCATCGCTGTCCGCACTGTGACAAATCCTTCACAACATCTGGATATTTGAAGATTCATCAGCGAGTTCACACTGGAGAGGAACTGTACAGCTGTGACCAGTGTGGGAAAACTTTCATTACATTAGGTGTCCTGAAAATCCACCAACGTGTTCACACTGGAGAGAAACCGTACTGGTGTGAACAGTGTGGAAAAACTTTCACTCAATCAAGTGCCCTAAAACTCCACCAACGTGTTCACACTGGAGAGAAACCGTACTCGTGTGAACAGTGTGGAAAAGCTTTCGCTCAATCAGGTGCCCTAACAACCCACCAACGTGTTCACACTGGAGAGAAACCGTACTGGTGTGAACAGTGTGGAAAATCTTTCGCTCAATCAAGTGCCCTAAAACTCCACCAACGTCTTCACACTGGAGAGAAACCATACTGGTGTGAACAGTGTGGAAAAACTTTCGCTCAATCAAGTGCCCTAAAAACCCACCAACGTGTTCACACTGGAGAGAAACCGTACTCGTGTGAACAGTGTGGAAAAACTTTCAAGACATCAGATTGCCTAAAATACCACAAACTTGTTCACACTGGAGAGAAACCGCACTCATGTGAACTTTGTGGGGAAAAATTCACTTTATCAACTGTCCTGAAAAAACACCAACGTGTTCACACTGGAGAGAAACCATACTCGTGTGGAAGAACTTTAGGTTCATCAGATGACCTAAAAATCCACCAACGTGTTCACACTGGAGAGAAACCATACTGGTGTGAACTGTGTGGACAAACTTTTGCTCAATCACATTACCTAAAACTCCACCAACGTGTTCACACTGGAGAGAAACCGTACGCGTGTGAACAGTGTGGAAAAACCTTTAGTCGATCAGGTGACCTAAAAAACCACAGACGTGTTCACACTGGAGAGAAACCATACAGGTGTGAACAGTGTGGAAAAACTTTCAATCGATCACATGTCCTAAAGAAGCACAAACGTGTTCACACTGGAGAGAAACCATACTCGTGTGAACGGTGTGGGAAAACTTTCAGTCGATCAGATCTCCTATATAAACACCAACGTGTTCACACTGGTGAGAAACCGTACTGGTGTGAACAGTGTGGAAAAACTTTCAAGTCATCAGATGGCCTAAAATACCACGAACGTGCTCACACTGGAGTGAAACCATACAGCTGTGGCCAATGTGGCAAATCTTATACCAAAAGGAGACACCTTACAAGACACAAATGCATTGACAAAGCATCAGTGTGACAGTTTTCACAGAGCCGAGCTAGCTGTTTCCTTCTGCCCTGAATACCACCACCTGTTATCATGTGACTGTGCTAGACTAACGTCATGTGATGACAGCTGAGGAAGTTTGATTTGGAAAGACCTGGAAATTGTTAATCCGGAGGTTTTATCAGCCAATAGCAAAATTAAACTGCAGTACCCAGTAGAGTGCAGTCACTGCATTTCAGAATCAGCTTTATTGCCAGGTATGTGTACACATGAGGAATTTGACTCTGGATTGTACATTGCTCACGATGTGCTTACTTATACAATAAGACAAAAATAATCAAACACAGGCTACAGTATAGAGAACCCATATATACAGACTATGGACTAAACTGACAGATTGAGCGAATAGTGTAGTGAGCTGAGTACAAAGGACGTAGGAAAAAATTATTATTACCATTATTGTTATTATGTACACGTTGGAGGTGGATGTGATATACAGGTGCACATACATCAGAGTGATTGTTTACGGAAGAAACGGTTCCTGAGTCTGTTGGTTACCAGAGGGGAGGAGCTGGAACAGGTTGTGTCCGGGGTGAGATGGATCTATACTGTCCTGAATGGAGGGCCGGTTGGTACCGATGATCCTTTCTGCAGTCCTGACTGTCCGTTGTAGTCTGCTCCTGTCCTTTTTGGTGGCAGATCCAAACCAGACAGTGATGGAGGTGCAGAGGACAGACTGGATGATGGCTGTGTAGAACTGGATCAGCAGCTCCTTTGGCAGGTTGAGCTTCCTGAGCTGGTACAAGAAGTGCATCCTATGCTGGGCGTTCTTGATAATAGTGTTGGGTTGGGGGGGCGTCAGTGCTGATAGTCCGGGTGCTGAATGTGATGTTCTCCAGCCTCAGTTTGTGATCCACTGACAGGTGGAGGCTGGCACGGTGAGCTGGGTGAGTTTGGTGCTGAGGATGTTCGGGATGATGAACGCTGAGCTGAGGTCCACAAACAGGATCCTGCATATGTCCCTGGAGAGTCGAGGTGTTGCAGGATGCAATGCAGTCCCAAGTTGACTGCATTGTCCACTGACCTGTTAGCCCTGTAGGCAAACTGCAAGGGGTCCAGCAGGAGCGTGGCAGTTTTTATCCCACTATATGTAGAATTCAAATGGTTCACAGTAAAATGTCCACAGGACCTGAATCCATCAACAACATTACTAAATAAATCTTAAAGATTCTCTTTGATTCTTGAAGAAGCTCTTCTTTGAAGCAGACTGAAGCTCTCAACGTGGCTCCAACTCATGCACCATCTCCTCTGTGGGATGTTTGTACTTTTTGCAACAGTTAGTGTCCTTGTAGTTAATGTATAAATATAATGTAAATATATCAGTCTGAGGGAAGCTGATCCAGTCACTTCCTGTTCTGCCTCCTTCCTGAGAAACATGTCAAATGATTCACCTGATTGAATCCACCCGATCATGACAATGACGAGATTGATGATTTTGACCAAACTGCTTAAATTAAATGTTTTGATCTCTTAGCTTGCTCACTACTCAAGAATGTCTCTGTTCTACAAAAACTGCCAAAGCTCATTTCTTTTGTCTCCTAATGATGTGTCTGCTTAAACAGTAAGATGACTTTTTAATAATCCTCTATATGTCATTACTTTATGTTCTTTGCTCATCTTATGTAGTGTTATAATTTCCACAAAGTGTACCAGTGTTTTGATTATAATGACCTTCTGTGAGATTGTTTTGTTTCATGCTTTCCTGTGAGAAAGGAGTTTCCACTGTGGTTCAAGGCTGAGAAAGGCTTTTCTGTTGGACTCCACAATTATTCTCTAGCATTAAATGTCTTCTCTGTTTCTCTGGGTCAGACTCTCTAACAGCCCTCTGGTGTATGAGCTCTGCCCTTCAGCTGAATCACTCTGTTATTCTTACTTTAATAAATATACCAAAGACAAGTTTATTTCTTCATTTCTTTAGACATTTTCAGTTCTGCTATGAGTATTGGAGAGATTAAGATGTGTGCCTATAATGCATTTTTTGCAGTTGGCGATACACGTCACTGTGTTGCATGTTGGGATCTGGTTCCATCTATTTCAATTATATCAAAATATTTTGGTATACGTTTTTGGTATATATTGTAAATATAGCTGAATGTTTTTTTCAAAGTAATACATTAATGTAAAAGTACTTGGGTTTAAACAATTTGCAGAATGTGTCCTTTTCTGCTATTTTGGACTAAATCGGGTCCGTCGGTCGTGGTCATCATTTTGGACACAAAGGGAGTTGTTGACATTTTGGCTACGTTCAGTTTGTATTTTCTGCTTTCTACCTTCAGCTCTAAAAGACTAGTAACTAACTGAACAGAAAAAGTAATCTGTCGCATCTTATTTCTTTCTTTCTGCCTAAATATTACAAAGTGTGAAATCCAACATTTCCACATTTAGAGAAAAGACTGAAGAGAAATCCTGATCCACCTCTGTTACTCTGACATGTACAGTCACTAACACCCTGTTGGCTTCAAAGGACTGTGACTAGTGTCTTTACAGTAAGCTGTGTGGACCTGGATCTAGTCTCAGAGTCCTGTTTCTGTTACATTTACTCATTTTTGCCATTTTCAAACACTTATCCAAAGCAAGCATCAAGAAAGCCTCAAATACATACTAGTAAGAGCTAATATCACATAGTTTTAAAGTCTTATTGTGTCCCCTGCCAGCTGAAAGCTTCCTGTAGCATCCGTCCAATAATCTGTCTGAAATCTATCTAATATATATTCAGTAGGTCTCAGATGAAGCTCTTCCTTCATGGTTGTGATGATGTTGTTGGAACTAACAGCTTCACATCAACACGCTCGGAGCTGGAAGGAAAACCCCGAGTTAACAGAGCCAGTCCATAAGCAGCCTCATGATGCTGGTTATCCAGGACGGCCATTGTTAAGTGTAAAAAATACTTTGTGTGTGTGGAATCGATGGCGTAGGATACGTGGCTATGCGGAGGCTACGCCGTCGCCTGACGCGCACCTCAAAAATGTAACTACATATGGCCCAATCCCAATGTCCACCCTCACAGACTTTGAGACGCGTTCCCGGGAAGTCCTTGACGGCTTAGGGCCGTCCCACTGTCAAATTTGCAAGTGTGCGAGGGCACTCTCGCGGACATTTTGAGCCCTTTAGACCTTTTTTGTAAGTCCGCATTTCTGTAGACTTTGGCTGAGGGAGTTGCCCACAGTTCATAGCGGTATGATGTGAAACACGGGGGTTACCAGGGGAAGCCCAGAAGCGAGAGAAATATCACGGAAAATCCGCGTATTAAGAGAAGAAGAAAACCGTTTAACAAACAAGCATCGACACCTACGCTGATGTCAGCATTGTTGAAATTTTTAACTTAAGATGCTGCATAGAACACATGAAGTCAGAGGAATTTATTCAACTATCTATTTTAGTCTCTGCTTGTTTGTCCTACAATAGTGTATTGATTATTGACAAATATATTGACATTTAGTTTACCTCTCCGCCACTCTGTAGGGCGAGAGACTGCAGGAGTACTGTGTCGTTCCTGTTTACAGCATTTTGAGCCCTTGCAGCCTCTTAAACTCAATCACTTTCCAAGTGATGTCAGTAAAGTGTGTGAGGGCTTAGGGGGTACATTGGGACTAGGCCACGGACCGTAAGCACTGGGATTGGTCGGCTGGGTAGCCTCGCAATGCCTCCGAGCCGACAGGACGTGGCCCGTACTTTCTGGTAAATTTTACGGCGTAACGGGGGGCACGAGAGGAACAGAGAGAAAGCGAGAGGGAGGAGGGAGGCAGCCTACACAATATACACACAGAGGTACAGACCGTAAAGGTGATGTTGCTACAGACTAAATGAAAAATGGTACAGATATTTATAGTAGTGTTAATGATAATAGTCGTAATGTTTATAATAACAATAGGACTAGTAACAATAATTGTTGTAGCAGAGGGTGTCGAGCAGGAACACGGGGGCAGCAGGTGACTCGCAACCACAGATCCAGACTCCACAGCTCCAGAGCCAGAAACACCTGCAGGAAGTGATAGGAGGAGAGAGGAGAGGGACGAGAAAGCACAAGACTACCAGAAAGGGGAGAAGTTGTGTTAGTAACATGCAATAATGGGATGAGGTTGCATACAGAGGGAGAGAAAGTAGAGGAGAGAGGAGCTCAGTGCATCATGGGAAATCCCCCGGCAGTCTAGGCCTATAGCAGCATAACTAAGGGATGGTTCAGGACTCACCTGAGCCAGCCCTAACTATAAGCTTTATCAAAGAGGAAAGTCTTAAGCCTACTCTTAAATGTGGAGATGGTGTCTGCCTCCTGAACCCAAACTGGAACTGGTTCCACAGGAGAGGAGCTTGATAGCTGAACGCTCTGGCTCCTAGTCTACTTTTGGAGACTCTAGGAACCACAGGTGCATTCTGGGAGCGCAGTGCTCTGGTGGGGTAGTAAGGTACTATGAGCTCTTTAAGATAAGATGGTGCCTGACCATCAAGAGCTTTGTAGGTAAGAAGAATGATTTTAAATTCTATTCTGGATTTTACTGGAAACCAATGCAGAGAAGAGAGAAGACAGGAGAAATATGATCTCTTTTCCTGGTTCCTGTCAGAACACGTGCTGCAGCATTCTGGATCAGCTGAAGAGTCTTAATGGACTTTTTCGAGCAGCCTGATAATAAAGAATTGTAGTAATCCAGCCTAGAAGTAACAAATGCATGGGCTAGTTTTTCTGCATCATTTTTAGACAGGATATTCCTGATTTTCGCAATATTACGTAGGTGAAAAAAGGCGGTCCTTGAAATTTGCTTAATGTGAGACTTCAAGATTCCTCACAGTGGTGCTGGAGGCCAGGGCGATGCCATCAAGGGAAACTATATCTTTAAATAATGCATCACGGAGGTGCTTAGGCCCCAGAGCAATAACTTCGGTTTTATCTGAGTTTAACATTAGACAATTACAGGTCATCCAGGTTTTAACATCCTGAAGGCACATTTGAAGTTTAGCTAACTGATGAGTTTCATCTGGCTTGATCGGTAGATATAACTGAGTATCATCTGCATAAGGACTGAAGGACTTCTTCAGTTCCGAACTGAAGTAGTATTGTTAGTTCGGAACTGCTCGCTGTTTGCTTCATAACGTTCAATTTAGATTTATTGTTGTTTTACCGATACTCAGGTACAGAGCTTCTCCGCCGTCTCAGTCGCTGTAACTTACGTGACCAACATAATATACAATAATGCAACATAACGTCTCAGGACAACAACACATTGGGAAATACAGTCACTACACTAACGTTACTTACTGCATTCTAACTGTTATTTGATAGTCCATGTCGGAACAAATGACACAGCTCTTCGGCAGTCTGAGCTGACAAAATCATATTTTAACCGTCTTCTTAACTTTTTAAAGCAGTGTGGAAAGTCCGTTTTTATCTCTGGTCCCATTCCCACAGTTGGTCGCGGTGCTGGCCGCTTCAGTAGACTCCTTGGCCTCCACGACTGGCTCCAGTCCGCCTGCAGGGCTCATCGTGTGTGTTATGTGGATAATTTTAATATTTTCTGGCAAAGAATGTCTCTTTTTAAGACAGACGGACTTCACCCAAACAAACGGGGCTCAGAAATGTTAGCTGCGCACATACAGCATGTGGTGCGGTCCACACATTATTTAAGTGAATGACTAATCATTCATGCAGCACACCTGGACACACCACCGCTCACTGAACAGATCTCTGCCTCACTGCCACAAACAACTGTCTCCACCTGCTGGCATGTAAAGCCGTCTGCTCCCAGCGCTGTTCCAAAGACTTCTATTCCTGTCATCATCACGCATAGACCAGTAAACCGAAATGTGCACATCCCACACAGAAATATTAGTAATCTCTTAAGGATTAGGACAACTGCACCAACTCCAGCACCCAGAACAAACCATTTAGAATGTCTCTCTTCAATGTGAGATCACTTTCAAGTAAGACTTTTATCTTAAATGATTTTATCTTGTCTGCAAATCTAGATTTTATGTTTTTAACTGAATCCTGGTTGCAGATGAATGACTATAGCCAGCTAGCTGAACTGTGTCCGCCTCAATATGATTGCTTTAGTCAACCGAGGGTCAGTGGTCGTGGTGGTGGGCTAGTGAGCGTGTATAGGAAATATTTAAATGTCATCAAGTACGCTGTGATGAATTTAACTCATTTGAAGTTCTCACTCTTAAAGTTGGAGGGCTGCAACCTATCATATTTGTTATAATTTATCGCCCCCCAAAACCGCCTGGAGGATTTTTATCATAACTTCCTGAATTTTTATCTACTCTGGTTTTAAATTATGACAGAATTGTTCTTTGTGGCGATTTTAATATTCATGTTGATGACCCCACCAATCTTAATGCAACTGACTTTTTAAATATGGCCTCTTCTTCTAACTTCAAACAACATGTCAAAGGGCAAACCCATAACCGTGGTCATACACTGGACTTGGTTTTTACCCTGGGTGTCAGCATTTCCTCGGTGGAATTAGTGGACATGACCATATCTGACCACAGATGTATTGTTTTTAGCTGCGATTCACCTGTTACTCATGCCGCCTCACCAAGCTCCGTGTGTTCTCACATCTTTAATGAACAAAGTGTTTCAA